TATGTATGTATGTATGTATATGTGGGAGACGGGGTCCTTTGGGGTCCATTAAATACATATGCATTGACCACATACACGCGCATTGACTTGGAGTAGCGGTGTGTCATGCTGTCATCGGATATCATGGGATGTGGGGCCAGGCGTAGAGGAGCGAACCCGGCTGAGCAGATAAAGATATATGTGTTGTTGCTAGCTTTTGCCTTGCGTGGCTCTGGTTCAGGTGGTGGCGCGAGCATCCGGCAACCTTGGAGCGACCCGTGGGCTCCCGGGATGTGGTCCTGCAGCGGGCGTCCCTGCATTCCTTTCGAGATTTGGAGATCAGGCGGGTCTCAGGCTTTGTCATCCCGCCTCTTTGCCGTGAAGTAAATCCACGATGCCTCGCAAGTACTACTCAAACCCCCACCACATCTTTCCTGGGGGCTGGTCTTTGGTGAGAGTCTGGACTCTTGACATCATTCCGATGCCGACAGGCGAAGTTTTGCCAAAGACGCAGCTACCTACGACAGCTTGGTGAAGGAGGTGAGCTGCAGCATTGATACAGGGCGTCGAAGACCCGAGAGACAACTCATAAACCCTCACAAAAGAATGGGCTGAGTGCGTGTCTTCAGCAAGTTTCGTGAGAACAAGCCCGCGGCATTCAAGCATGGAAGCAAGTGCTTTTCGTGGAGGCACAGTAGCTACAAACCTTGGAGACCTGGGGTGAGACCTCCACGAGTATCAGCGTTCTGTGACAGTCCAAGACACAAAACTGATTAGAAACATCCTCCTCAATGAGCTTCAGGGGGCTCCAAGGCATCTCTCGGTGTAAGGTTCCGGGAGAGGATTGCGCGGGTGACTTAAACCTTAACCCCCGTCCTCAAACCTGTGGTTCTGGGCCTAGCTGCTTGCTACTTGTTGTTGGGGTGAGGAGCATTCGTGGTGACACTATGTGGCTCAGTCCGGGATCAGGGGATTGAGTCATGGGCTTGGATTAGAACTTGTGCTTAAGATTGCGTGGTGTGGTCTTTCTGGATTGAGTCGTAGCTGGGCCAGTGTGGACAGCTCGTCGTGCCCTGTCCCTGCCTTGTGCGAGTGTGAGAGTTGGAGGCCTGAAGCCCACTTCAAGATTGTAGTACTCCCCGCTATGGCAACCTCTTATAGCAACTTGCCCGGTGCCCGAGAAGACCCTTGGAGGTCCCTTGGCGCCAGGCCAAGGTGGTCGCCAGAGATCTGAACACAGGCTCGATGCACGTCCACGATTCGGAGGGCAGCCAAATATTGGTGATTCTTGTTTGTCAGGTTTGCCCGATGGTTTTGAGCACTGCCTCTGTAACGACCATAGACTTTCTCACTTGGCCATAAAACACGATGACGGTTTCGACAGGAGAGCTTGGCCTCCGATACAACGAGAAGGGAGAAAGCTTGAATGCAGGCCCGGCGGGGACGAGGGTTGTGTATCGTCGGGGTCAGTTTCCGGGAGCAGACCGTCAGACTTGAATATATTTTTCCATGACCCTTCAGGTCTTGAGGCTATGCGGCCAAGGTTAATCCAACAATCCCCTTGGATCCAAGATCCTGATCGAGCCTGTTTCCGCACTGAGGTCGCCAGGTGGCCGACTATTCGGGTGGCCTTGACTTCCTGGACAAGCTGCTTCAACGGGTGCCACCCGGTCAGTAAGCTGATCCATGCCGACTCCCCATCACATTGCAACAAGCTCCGAAAGCCATAGAACTTCGCAAGCTTCGGAGGATTTTATCTTCAATTGCATACGCGATGCGTAGATGAAGCCTGATGTGGTATGCTTAAGGTTTTCCGAGATGAACATTCGAGATCCGCAAGCCCGGATCTTCATGAACTTCTACGTGGACGGCAAGGACAAGGCTCGCTGGTAGTTGGGCGGTCTCATCCTTTTCGACACTTCTAAAACGACTTTTGCTAAAGATGCTCGAGGATGGCTCCTTCGCCCACCAGCACTGCACACATTCATGCATGACTAGTTGTTCAGGCGAGTGTTCCTGACCTTTCATTTTGAGTTCTGATAGGGGGAGGGAGAGGGAGACAGAGGGGGCGCACCCTTTGGGGGAGGGAGCGGGAGACAGAGGGGGCTCACGCTTTCCTCGCCATTGCGAAAGAAAAGACAGTGTAGAAATCTTGCACAGGCCGCAGGTCCTTCACTGCAAGGTACGAAGTTTGGATGATAGAATTGGCCGTGCAAAGGGGGACAATTCAAGAGGGAAGAGAGAGGGAGGGAGAGAGAGAGAGAGACTAACGTGACAGCCGCAGCCGGCGAAGATTTTATGTTGTCATAGGGTGCAGGGACGCGGCTGGAATTTGGTTTTTGTGCTGCATGCTGGCTGCCGTTCAGAAGACCGTGATGGCGCCTTCTCCAGGACTTCTTCTCCTATGCATGGATGGAGTCAGAGGATGGAAAATACGACGAGGGGAAGAAAGAAAGAAAGGAAGGGAGGAAGGGAGAGCGACTCTACATGTTACCGTTCTTAAACAAGCTGCCAGGAGGGGCTTGTGTTTTCAATCGCCGAGTGATGCCCACCCACCCGCTCACCCACAGGAGCAGGGCTCGGGGTGCTGCGTCTAGCAGGGTCCAGGAAGCCGTCTTTGAGCGGGGGCAGGGCCCCAAATGATGACCATACAGTGCAAAAGCTAGAGTTCAGTTGAAAGTGGCCTGGCATAGCCCCGACAGTGTGATTCGATGTCGGCCAACTTGACACTGCCCGTTCTGACATCCACTGGCCCTTCGATCTTGATCTGCCAGGTTTCTCAGCATCGCCACGACTTCTGGACCTGCCTGCGTCCTGGCATGTCTAGTCTGTGCGCGGCGAGGTGCTTGGATGCGGCCTTTGTGTCAGAGCTGCTGGGGATTCTGTTCACAAGCAACGCTCAACATGTATTCAGATCGTCGATATGAGTAGGATGAATCCCAGGTTGTCCTTTGGCTCGCCACGGATTCTCACAGTGGACGGCCGGCCCATCCTTATGCGGGATGGGGACCTGATCGTGTTTGGCACACAAAACCATGGTGTCCCTGTCATGCCCAGACCTCAGACACCGGGTGTCCATCGCAGACTCGTGCCAAGCTGCTGCCGCGTCAAGGCCAGACATTACGGGGGGCAGGGTGTCCTTGGTGATCTTTTTCTACCCAGATGCGGACAACTTGGAGCGCCAGTGGCAGACGATTACCGAAGAAGACGACGAGGGCAAGTCCACCGTGACCGATGCT